GGGGGGGGGGGGATTATTAAGGAATTTTGTTAAGGTTCACTTGGGGCGCAATTTTTCTGATCACTTTTAGTCGAGTTCGGGGGAGATTTTTTTTTTTAATTCACTAGGAGCGAATTTTTTGATAAAGGAGTTAATGTTAGCTAATTTTCCGTTACGAATTTTTTGGGCCATTTATCCACGACTTTGGGTGCGAATTTTCCAGGGTACGAATTTACTAGGAGCGAATTTCTTTATAAGGGTATTCTGTCTTGAACGAGGTCATAGTTTAAAATAGCAGGCAGGGTATGATTCACCCCATCCAAGCGTGCTAGAGCATTACAAATTAACTGGCAAATCGAACTATAGCAACGTTGCCTCCGCAATCAAGTCCGTTGTCCCTGTTGGCGGCGCCCGATTTTTAACATTTTCATTATTCGGTACAAAAAAGTCAAATGCAGGTAGAATAAGATGTGTGCTGTTTTGTTTATGACTACGAATAATCATACTTTCAATTCCAGTCAGAATCCGACACAATGACGAGCAAACTGGTGTTACTCCGGGAGGCGTTGGCCATCTACTGGCGGACCCTCTTCATCGTGTTCTTCCCCCTAATCCTCCTACCGGTCTTCATAATGCACAACACGCCCGACATGCGCTGCCTTTACGTCGTAATCGTAATGGCCGGCTTCTGGGTGACCGAGTGTCTGCCGTTACCGGTGACCGCTTTAATTCCGATGGTGCTCTTTCCCCTGATGGGTATACTCGACTCGGAGGCGACCTCCCTGGCCTACCTGAAGGAGACGAACATGATGTTCATCGGCGGCCTAATAATCGCCATCGCCGTCGAGCACTGCAACCTCCACCGACGCCTCGCGTTGGCCACGATCCTGCTCGTCGGGTGCAGTCCGAGACGGTTGCACTTCGGCCTGATCACGGTCACGATGTTCGTCTCGATGTGGATCTCGAACACGGCGGCCGTCGCGATGATGTGCCCGATCATCGACGCCACCCTCAAGGAACTGGAAAGTCAGGGTATCGGTAAGATGTACATTCATCCGGAGAACGAAAACGAGGACGAGCCCACCGAAACGAAACCGAAGCCCGACGAGAAATTGCAGCCGAGCAAAGTTACCATCAGCTATTTCCTAGGGGTGGCCTATGCTTCCACAATTGGCGGCCTTGGTACTATTGTAGGAAGTGGGACTAATCTCACTTTTAAAGGTGAGTAGGTTATTTTTGAAACACCCTGTGCATATGTGTACAAGTCCATTGACATTTGTCACGTTGTGTTACTGTCGTCAGGAGACTCAAAAATTTTTTAAACACCCTGTATTTTTTATTTCACAGTTTTTGAAAATGCAAACGGAAATATTTTCAGGAATCTACGAGCGATTCTTCAGCGAAAGCGAGGGCCTAATCTTCACGCACTGGATATTTCTGAACGTGCCAATTATGCTAATAACAATGGCGCTGACGTGGCTGTGGCTCCAAGTCTTTTACTTGGGACTGTTCAGGCCGAAATCGAAGGACGCGCAGTGCATACGCGTCGGCAAGCAGGGCGAGTACGTCGCGCAGAAGGTGATCCGTCAGAAAATGGTCGAGATGGGCCCGATGACATTCCACGAAATTTCCGTCGCGATCCTCTTCGGCATCGCCGTCCTCTTGTGGTTCTTCCGACAGCCCCAGTTCATTCGGGGATGGCCTACGCTTATCACCAACACTAAGGTATTTATTACGTTTGCTTCTCCCCCACTTAACTAAGCCTTAAATCCAGGTGAAAGATGCCACCGCCGCTATGATCGTGGTGATGCTGCTGTTTATACTGCCATCGAAGTCGGACTTCGTCAACATCTTCAGGCGTAACAAGAACGCGAGACCGACCGAGCCGTCGCCTCCCTTAGTCACCTGGAAGGTGGTCCAACAGAAGCTACCCTGGGGCATTATCTTTCTGCTGGGCGGCGCGTTCGCCTTGGCCGAAGGCTCGCAGCAAACAAAAATGGGCAAACTCGTCGCCTCGCAGCTCGGCGGCCTGCGCGTGCTCGGCAAGTTCGGAACAATGGCCGTTTCGACGCTTCTCGCCTCGATCCTAACCGAATTCTCCAGCAACGTCGCCGTCGCCAACGTCATACTGCAGGTGCTCGCCGAACTCTCGCGGGACATAGGCGTGCACCCGCTCTACCTGATGATGCCCGCCGGTCTGGCGTGCTCGCACGCCTTCTGTCTGCCCGTCGGCACGCCGCCGAACGCGATCGCATCCGCCGCATGCAATATTCCAACCAAACAAATGATAATCGTCGGCATAGGCGTTAACATAATCGCATTTGTCGTTTTACTAGTTATATTTCCGCTACTCGCCCCGGTCGTCTACACGGACCTGGGCGAATTTCCGCAGTGGGCCTGGGACAACACCACCAATCACACCAGGACATAGAACAAATTAGTTAAGTTAATTATTTAATATTTTTCATTAACGCCTCATTACATAAACTCCATGGTCCAATAATTGAAGTTGATTGGTTCATTCAGGTGATCTGTATATAAAACTCCCACGTTGTTGTACTTACATATCTGTAGATGAAGCTCAACGTAGATTTAAGGAAATGTACAGATACTGTTAGTATTCTATATATATTTTTTGAACAATTTTGTAACGTTAAATGACTATTTTATTACAAAATAAACTTCATTTATACATTTTTTTATCTCTGGTCACCTCGATAAGACCCCTGTCACACCCACACAGAAGACGATACACTATCTAATTGTAGATATGGTGAAACAAAGGAAACTCTATCCCTGATATAGCTATCCACGGATCGATGATACCACGTCGCCCAAGCCCCAATAATGACAACATAGGATCTTTAAGCTGGTTAATGGGAAGTCAACGGTTCAAATGATAGAGATAAAACCGCAAGGGGGGCATATGCAGGTACAGAAAGATGCCATTTGCGCTGAAAAACGCACCGCCAAGTTCCATGGATAACTGGACGTGATAAAAAACATTCTATTTCGTGTATTCAATCAAAATGTTATATTTATACTGCCAAATTCTGATGAACTTGCAGGAGCGAGACTAGTCTTGGATTTTTTAGTTGTCAAGTATTACACTTGGATTCGTTATTTTAAAGAGATATCTGGTGCGCACCTTTCTGAGGTAGCAAAAGCATCCGGCAGCAAAATAAAACGTGCCACTAATTAGACAAAACGACCATAACCGATGAGAGCGTAGCCTCCCTGCCCGCAAACGTTTAAAAGCAAAGCTCCGAACTCGAACTTATACAATACAACAATTCAAAGGAACTTACTTTTATGGATGCGTTGAAATTTTCACTAACTGTCAATTTTTGATTAATAAATTGCTTTTTACCACAAATCTGGCGCAACGGAATGTTTTGCACCTTGGACCCCGAACGATTTCGTAGTAAGAATTTATTAAAGCGCACATAATCCAAATATGGACAGCAATCACGTGTATCAATCGCTTTCAAACAAGCAAAAATTAACCTAAATATGTCTCTTAATACATAACAATAATAATAAAAATCAATAAACGAAATTATAATAATAATAGTCATTTATTGAGGAAAACAAAAATCATCAATCTAAAACAACATGTAACCTTCAAAAGGGCAATTTCAGAGCCCTTTTCCATGATAAAAGAATTGTGGGAAAGTATATACAATTGAATAAATAGAATAAGATGGTTTGATCCCGAGGTGGTTACGTGGGGCATTTTGCGATCCAAAAGGCATCCATGCCCATTTCGGGACGCCTACCGACGTATACACTAGCAATAAATTGCAACAAACATAATTCCTAAATTTAATGACATATAATAATAGCCATTTATTGAGGAAAACAAAAAAAAAACAATAATCATCAATCTAAAAAAAACATGTAACCCTCAAAAGGGCAATTTCAGTACGAAATTCGCTTCCCACCTTTTCAATCATAAAAGAATCGTGGGAAAGTATACAATTGAATAAGATGGATTGATCCCGAGGTGGTTACGTGGGGCATTTTGCGATCCAAAAGGCATCCATGCCCATTTCGGGACGCCTACCGACGTATACACTAGCAATAAATTGCAACAAACATAATTCCTAAATTTAATGACATATAATAATAGCCATTTATTGAGGAAAACAAAAAAAAAACAATAATCATCAATCTAAAAAAAACATGTAACCCTCAAAAGGGCAATTTCAGTACGAAATTCGCTTCCCACCTTTTCAATCATAAAAGAATCGTGGGAAAGTATACAATTGAATAAGATGGATTGATCCCGAGGTGGTTACGTGGGGCATTTTGCGATCCAAAAGGCATCCATGCCCATTTCGGGACGCCTACCGACGTATGCACTACCAATAAATTGCAACAAACATACCTAATTCCTAAATTTAATTGTATATAATAATCGCCATTTATTGAGGAAAACAAAAAAAACATAATAATCATCAATCTAAAAAAACATGTAACCCTCAAAAGGGCAATTTCAGAGTCCTTTTCCATCATAAAAGAATCGTGGGAAAGTATAAACAATTAAATAAATAAAATAAGATGGGTTGATCCAGAGGTGTGAAGTTACGTGGGGCATTTTTCGATCCAAAAGACATCCATGCCCATTTTGGGACACCTACCCACTTATACACTAAAACAAATTGCAACAAACATAATTCCTAAATTTAATAATGAAATAATAATAGCCATTTATTGAGGAAAAAAAACATAATAATCATCAATCTAAAAAAACCATGTAACCCTCAAAAGGGCAATTTCAGAGTCCTTTTCCATCATAAAAGAATTGTGGGAAAGTATATACAATTGAATAAATAGAATAAGATGGGTTGATTCAGAGGTGTGAAGTTACGAGGGGCATTTCGCGATCCAAAAGGCATCCATGCCCATTTTGGGACACCTGAAAAAATCTACTTCTATCTAGAGTGCATATAATAATCAATCGCAGTGGAGAACGCGGCAAAGCCCGCCGCACCGACTACACCCGCCTTGACGCCCGCCCTCAATCCGATTAATCCCCCGGTCACCCCACCGGCATAAGTTCCGTTTTTCCAATCTGATTTTCCTCGTGCCTGAAAAAACACGGATAATTATCTCGTTCGAGCATCGACTTACGCACGGATTCGATGGCGCACTCGACGGCCGAGAACAGAGCGCCGATCACGGCGAAATTCTTGGCGTAGCTTAACGTCGTGGTCTTCATCTCGCGGAAGACCTCGCGTACCGTCTGCTGCTCGGCGTTCATCGGCGTCGGTCCGATACTGGACGAGAATAGACCGATCGCCGCTCCCAGACCGTAGCCTGCAAAATTCGGTTGTCAAGAGTTCGGCGGGGTGCATTTTCGTACCTATTACGCAGCTCATTGCCGATTTAAACGGGCAACTTTCAAAGACACTCTCGACCATCTTCTCCTCGTTGGTTTTTATTTTAATGGGACCGAGCGATTTTGGTATTATTATATTTTCTCTATACCTGTAATTGTTACCTACGAAGTAGTTGGTTAAACTTAGCCATTCTTCGGGGGTAAGTTGTCGTTTCGGCGGTTCTGATGTGGCCATTCTTTTCTGATGAGGATAATTAGAGTACCTTAACCACACTTGGAATTCAATTCATGTTAAAATACGAACAATTATAGTGTTACATTTAATTAAAGAACTACTAAAAGCATTGAACGTTCACTGTTCAAAAATTGAGGTTAGAATACACCTGAAACGTATAGGGTGTATCAACAAAACCACGTGCATACAATATTGGTAGTATAAAACCGCCATTTTGTTTATTTACAATGGCCATTACTTGAACAAATTTCATTTGCACTTTAAAGAGCAAGGATAGTTTATAACGTCACAATTTATCACGTTACTTTCAAGAAATTTAAAACGTCGCTTGGATTAGTGTAATTATGCAACCATCAATAACGATAATTTAAGAAATTGTCGTTTAACGCATAATATTTCCAAAGTCTTTAATTGTAAACAGTGCAATTACACGACAAAAAATAGGACTCCGCTGGGTATTTTCTATTACTGCTATCAGTGCAATTACGCTACAATTAAGCGTTCGCTATCACCTATTAGCGCACACAACCTTTTATCGAGATTTTCTTTGCCACTGAATTTACTGGGGGGTATTGAATATCCCCCAGATCGCCTGGTAACATAACATCCACAAAATCCTTGGCCTTGAGGAATCCCAAGGTGGGATTATTGTGAAAAAATGATCATATCCTCTTCTCCTAAGAATATGTAGCACCGAGGGGGGGGGGGGGCTAGGGCGGTATGGAATATCCCCCAGTACACTCTACCTACTTCCATTGCCATTTGTAGTAAAAGATCGATGAGAGTACAGACGGTTATATAGGGAAGGATAAGCACTCTTGGCCTCGGAAAAAACCTTCAACATTTGATACCTTGCAGGCCTGAGGTTTTGAAGCCTTGGAAACAGCACATTAGATCTGGAGGCTGGTAGTCTAGTTGAAGTGTTTCGAGCTCACGCTTGAAAGTTCCATTGGACGCCCTAAAACATGCGTTGTAATAATACTTATTTTAGAGGCATTAACAGTTCAAAACAAAGGTTTTACTTCTTACCGCCGCCCTTTTTGTTGTAACCTACAGGAGAATGCGCATTCACTTAACCAACATTGTACAAGACCCTTGTATCATGGACAAAAACAAAAAAGAATGGACAAATTTACATATTCTAGAAGTGTAGAGACCAAAATTAATATAGGTACGATTACAGATTCCTTTTAATGCGTGTTTTGGGAACATTACCGCGAGGCATTGGAATGGGAGAAATTTTTTATTTACTAACATAATATATTTTGAATTATTTATTTAAGAATTAAATATTATATATTTAAAAAAAAAATTTACCTATAGTAATCAGTAACCATGCGATTGTTTGACGCCTACTTTTTTCTTAGGTATTTTTTCATATATCACCTTTGTCTGTGTACCAATACATGCTGTACATGATTTTTCCGTGTACTTGTCGCATTGGACTCATTGAATCTTCTTTGCACTTTGGTGCGACACAAGATGAACCTTAAAATTGTGTTCTTTATTTGTTGCGTATTTGCAACTGTCACATTTCAAATGTTTGGGATTGTGTCTTAACACATGGTTGTTGAAGCACCTTTTCAAATTTGTCGCGTACGCGCATTTGTCGCACTTCAATTTTTTAAAAGTGGCATGTTTTGCCAAACAGTGCAACTTGAGGATATCCTTTCTCGATGACGCGTAGTTGCAATGGTCGCACTTGAAGTTCTTCAAAGTGCTATGTACGGACATGTGGTTTCTGAGTGTCGACTTTACGTTTGTTTCGAAGTTGCAGTGGAAACATTTTAAGTCTTTGGTGGTTTTGTGTGACAAAGCGTGGGTCTTGAGGTACTCCGATCTGTTAGTTGCGAATTTGCAGTGTTCGCATTTGAAATGTTTGGGATTGTGTTTTACTACATGCTTGTTAAGGCTGTCCCTTAGATTTGTAGCAAAATTGCACTTGTCACAATTGAACTGTTTCGAAGTGACATGCTTTGATAAGCAGTGCAACTTCAAATATTCCTTGCGAGTTGCTGCATAGTCGCATTGGGTACATTTGAAGTTTTTTGTGCTGTGTACGGACATGTGCTGTCTGAGTCTGTACTTTATGTTCGTTGCAAAGTTGCAATGCAAGCATTTCAATTCTTTCGTTGGCCTGTGCGACAAGAGATGGAGCTTGAAATAGCTTTCTCTGTTGGATGTATAACCACAGTGATGGCATTTCAAACGCTTGGCAGTGTGTGTTACTTCTGGCACTGTATGCTTTTTTAAAATGTGCATAGTCAAATACATGTTATAAGTCTCTTTGCGAATATGAATCGAGTTGTGCTGCTGAAGTAACCGCTTTAAGTCTGTCGTGTAATCGCACTGATCACACTTGAAAATGTTGTGTGTTAAACAATGTAAGTTAAAGTCCTCAATTAAATTTGTGATGTAATCGCAACGTTGACATTTATACGCCACAAAAGTTTCCCCCTTTAAAAGATGATCTTGCCTAATTTCAATCTCGCCATTTTCTTCTTTGAACACTGGCAGAACCATGTCCATTTCTGAATTCACATGACCCAACGGGTCGATATCTTCTGCCTCTGCATCAACCCCTTCCTCTTGTTTCGGTTCCAATTCGACATATTCGTGTTTTGGTTCTACTTTCACCATTAAAGTGTCATCCGACGACATAATCGAAACTGTAATGTTTAAAAGGAGAAAGATTAGAAATATTAAGCTACTATTAATACATAAATTTGGCGATTCTTCGATTTCTGAGAAGAGGCCTGGTGAAAATGATCTCCCATACCAAGTTTCTAACGCGTTACGAAGATTCTTTTACTCAGTTACAACTCAAACGATCACTTTCACAACAAAAATAAGGTTAGCACTTGTAAAATAAAAATTCAAGATGGAGGTGTGGCTGTGGCTCACATACGCATCTAGTAACCTTCATCGTGATCCAAGATCCAGTGTTGCGACATTATTTGAGTATCTAAATACACATACTTGTATTGTGCCCCTATAGCGCGTTCGCACCTCCAGATGCAGTATGGTGCTTATGGACATACAGTACAAGCTTGCCAAACTTATCAACAAACGTAACAATGACAGCAATAAGGGCAGAACATTATTTTGATTTGTTCGAGATTGGCCAGTTGTTAATGTTTACTCTATCACTCTATGTTTAAACTCATTTAGATTGATTAGAGACTTCAATTCCGTGTGTATGAATTTTCCTTTTTTTGATTGCCTTTAACTGTTTCATCCATGGAGAGGTAATTGCCCGAGTGTAAAAGTACTTAGCCTTGAAATACAACTTTAGTCTAACGTTACCGTATCCATGACCCTCAGATACCTCCTGGACTGGAAAAGGTCGGGCAAATTAACAATGTATCTCAATGTAGGACTGTTAGTTTTCACAAATGTGAAAGGAATGGAATCGTTTTGAAATTTATTTGAGCAAAAACAATACAATCATACGGCGACAAACCTTAAATCCATACGATTAATAATTAGTCATTTTGTTTGACTCAAACGCCGGCGTGGTGTTGTAAAGTGTGGACTTTCAGATGTCCCTTTGTGCTTCCTGCGTAGTTGCAGTGGTCGCACTTGAAGTCTTTCAAGGGGTGCATTGATTCACTATGTTTTGCAAGTCGGTACCTACTTATATTAGTTGCATAATCGCATTTGTCACATTTAAAGTCTTTTGTTGATTTGTGTGTTAAAAGATGCCCCCTTAAGCTGCTTTGTCTATTCGTTGTGTAACTACACTGATCGCACATCAAATATGTATTGTGTATTAATAGATGTTGCTTGAAATACGGTTCAGCATTTGTTGCGAAATTGCACTGAGAACACTTCAGATGTCCCTTTGTGGTTGCTTCATAGTTGTGGACTTTCGAGGAGTGCCCCGATTTAATATGTGGTACAAGTCGTGACTTTACATTAGTTGCAAAATCGCAATGGTCACATTGAAAGTCTTTTGTTGATTTGTGTGATAAAAGATGCTTCATTAAGTTGCTTTTTCTTTTAGTTGTGTAGCTACATTTATCGCAATTTAAATTAGTACTGTGCATTAATAAATGTTTCTTGAAATACGGCTTAACGTTTGTTGCAAAATTGCAGGGTGAACATTTGAACTCTGTGGATGTGGCATGCTTCGCTAACTGATGTAGATTTAAGTGATTCTTTCGATTTGTTGAATAATCGCATTGGCCACACTTGAATGGTTTGTAGTCGCTATGGATTAACTTATGCTGTTTGAGTAGTTGCTTTACATTTGTTGCATAATTGCACTGATCACACGTAAGGTCCTTTGTAGTTTTGTGCCTAAGCAGATGAAGTTTTAAGTTGCCCTTTCTTTCTGTGGAATAGTCACAATGTTCACATTTAAAAGGTTTGGAAGTACTGTGTGTTATCAAATGTTTGTCCAGATTTTCTTTTAAATTTGTTACGTAATTGCAGAGATCACATTTAAAGTCAATTGACGTTAAATGCACGTCATCTTCTTCCTTCACGGTTTGAGGAGCAATGTTGACATAAACCATTTCCTCCAAAGACAAATTGATATCATCTTCTTCTTTTGGTTCCACTTTTAAGTTAGGCTCTTCTTTTTTTGATTCCACTTTAACAACTACAGCGGCGTAATCGGCGGCCATAGTTGGAACTAAAATCATAATACCTAATAAGTTCCTGATTTTGAGAGACAATACTTGTAATTAGGTATATTTCTTGAATCTTCTTTAGGTAGTGATCACTATATGCGAGCAGAAAAAACGAATCAAGCACTAAAACAACTGAAGTAACAAAGAAACATACCTACATCAGATTAAAGAAAACAAATGTAGTAGTAAATATGTATAAAAACTTTGAACAATATAAATGTCAGATCAAAAACATAAAATTAATTTTTAAAAAAAATATAACAATTTCGTTGAAAATATTTTTAGGTTGTAATCTTAAGAGTACCTTCAAAGTTCCCCGACAATGAATTTTAAACCCACAATCGTCCACTCACACACTAATGGCCCACCCTGTATAGCCCAAAAAAAACCACTGCTACAAAATCAAAATGGGAAATGAAAATTAATATCCAGAACTGGTTAAATGCCACCATTGACTATGAATATATGGAAGGGAGTAAAGATGGTTGAAGTAAAAAAAAGTACAAAAGGAAAACAGAAACAAGAAGCAGAAATAATGATTTGCTGATAGATAAAGACAGTAGCTGGATCCAAATTCAATAGAGCTAAAGAAAGAAATATATATTGAGGTGCAGCGAAACTAATTGAAGGTACTAGCTAGTATCGTTAAGTTTGTGTCAAGATACCGACTAATCCTACTGGTAACTCCTTAAATACCTACCAATCACTCGATTGTGATGCTGTAATCTCCACCCCAGTTTCCTTTCTAATATGTTTGTGGTAGGCGATGACTCCACTCTTGCCCTAAAGATAATGTATTAGTAATAATAATGTGACAGATCCGATCAGTCATCCTCTATCACAAACTTGGGTGTCAACACTTACTACTAAAAGGCAGTAATGCAGTCGGAACACAGAATGGACACATTTAATGTTTCAAACTCAGAAGGCTGATCCTTTCGATTCACTAGGAACAAATCTATTGATACAATTGACACTTTGGGGTGTTACAAACTACCTGTAAGAAGAGCACTCAAGCACAGCCGTACACAAGGGGCACCAGTAGTAATCTTAATGGTATTTTTGTAGGTCTTCAGGTCACTGCGTGTGGCAACGGCTGTGGCTAAATAACCCGAATTTTTGTTCAACCTCTGGCTGTACCGGTGAACTCGCATTCTCATTTTGTCACATTTTCAACGCAAAAGCAATCTTCGACACGTTTAACAAGAAGCCCACTAAAAAGGGTTTAGAATTACAAAAGAAATTACGGAATAAGAGATTCAGAAGTGGCGGTCGTCGTCGTATTAATGCGAATTTCAAAATACAAATTTCTAGCGCACTCGTACAACTTTACAACTCGCCGACATTCCCTTACGTCGATTATGCTATAAAACACCATTACTATTCCTGACATACCTAATCGTACAGGGTGCACGTAGCATCCTTGAATGTGGATATGCCGGTTTTAAGTTATGAATACCGTGATCCGTAAGCCGCGAACACCGATCACAAATCAAATTTTATTGAAATTGTGACAGGTGACGCTTTATAACCCCACGTTATTAATTATAGCGTAATTACACTGAGAGAACGTTATTCAAAACGGCCAAAAAATAGCGTCTCCTATTTTTTTGTTGTGTAATTGCACCGTTCACAATTAAAAACTGGGGAAATATTGATACGACGACGATTTTGTATTTAAAAACTGATAAATATTATTATTTGACAATTGCAAATAAACAAAATGGCGACCTTATACCACCAATAGTAATTACAATGTGCTGCCACCAGAGGTCTCATTGTTAATCTGAATTGCGAATCACCTTGGATAGTTAAAAGAAAAGTTGCTGCAGAAGAAGAGTGAGGCAGACAGATGACAGCCCAAGGTGAGTCGGCAACGTTTGCTGCTATTAGTCGTCAAGGTGGCAACTATCGTTTCCCATTTAAATGTCACAACTGTGACAAGTATGGTCGTATAAGGAAGCAGTGCCGTGCCGATAACAAGAAAGATCCGAGGAAAAATGTGAGGACAAACATGGTCTTCCATTTTGTATCTAAATTACAAATAGTTAAAAAAAAGGCAATGATAATATTGAAGCATACAATAGTAATATACAATAATAAGTGATTAGTCATTTTGTTTCATTTCAAATCGGCGTGGCGTTGTAAATTGTGGATTTTCAGACGTCCCTTTGCGATTGGATGCACATCCTAGGGGTGCAACGATTTAATATGTTTAACAAGTCGCTGCTTTACATTAGTTGCGAAATCGCATCGGTCACACTTAAAGTCCTTTGTTGGTTTGTGGGATAAAAGATGCTCCCTTAGGTTGCTTTGCCGATTCGTTGTGTAGCTACATTGATCGCACATCAAGTGAGTGCTGTGTGTTAATAGATGTTTCTTGAAATACGATTTAACGTTCGTTGCGAAATTGCACTGGGGACATATCAGTTCTTTAGTTGTGACATGCTTTGACAACTGGTGTTGTTTTAATGTAGAATTTGTACGTGATGAATAATCGCATTCGTCACATTTGAATGGTTTGTAGTTGCTATGGACCAACATATGCTGTATGAGTAGAGTCTTTACATTTGTTTCATAATTGCACTGATCACACTTGAGTTCCTTTGTAGTCTTGTGCATAAGAAGATGAAATCTAAAGTTATCTTTGCGATCAGTAAAATAGTCACATTGATCGCACTTCAAATGAGTACTGTGTTTTAATAGATGTTTCTTGAAATACGATTTAACGTTCGTTGCGAAATTGCACTGGGGACATATCAGTTCTTTAGTTGTGACATGCTTTGACAACTGGTGTCGTTTTAATGTAGAATTTCTACATGATGAATAATCGCATTCGTCACATTTGAATGGTTTGTAGTTGCTATGGACCAACATATGCTGTATGAGTAGAGTCTTTACATTTGTTTCATAATTGCACTGATCACACTTGAGTTCCTTTGTAGTCTTGTGCATAAGAAGATGAAATCTAAAGTTACCTTTGCGATCAGTAAAATAGTCACATTGATCGCACTTCAAATGAGTACTGTGTTTTAATAAATGCTCCTTGAAAAACAGTTTAACGTTTGTTGCGTATTTACAATGGGAACACTTCAATTCTTTAGTTGTGACATGTTTTGCTAACCGATGTTGTTTTAACATAGCATTCCTATGTGATGAATAATCGCATTGGTCACATTTAAAGGGTTTGTAGTTGCTATGGACTAACATATGCTGTATGAGTCGAGTCTTTACATTTGTTGCATAGTTGCACTGATCGCATTTAAAGTCTTTTGTGGTTTTGTGCATAAGAACATGAAGTTTGAAGTTACTCGTTCTATTTGTAGAATAGTCACATTGATCGCACTTCAAATGAGTAGTGTGTATTAATAGATGTTTCTTCAAATACGATTTATCGTTCGTTGCGAAATTGCACTGGGGACATTTCAACCCTTTAGATGCGACGTGTTTCGCTAACTGATGTAGTTTTAACGCGGGATTTCTATGTGACGAATACTCGCATTGGTCACATTTGAACGGTTTGTGGTTGCGATGGATCAGCATATGCTGTCTGAGTAGATTCTTTATATTTGTCGCATAACTGCACTGACCACACTTAAGGTCCTTTGTGGTTTTGTGCATAAGAAGATGACATTTTAAACGAGCCTTTTTGTTTGTAGAGTAGTTACAATCACCACATTTTAAATGTTTGGGAGTACCATGTGTTATCAAATGTTCGTCAAGATTTTCTTTTAAATTTGTTACGTAATCACATTTAAGGCAGTTTAACGTTAAATTCAAAATGTTTGTACCATATTTTAAATCATCTTCTTCCTTCACGGTTTGAGGAACTATGTTGACATGCACCATTTCCTGCATAGACAAATCGATATCTTCGTCTATGGGTTCCACTTTCACGTCGGGCCCCTCTTGTTTTGGTTCTACTTTCATGTCAGGCTCTTCTTCTTTTGTTTCCACTTTAACAATTACAGCGGCGTAATCGGCGGCCATAGTGGAACTAAAATTATAATACCTAATAAGTTCTTGATTTTCACAATAGATTGATTAATGGCGGCATAAATATTATTAGTGTTTTATTTCAACGAATACCATAAAATTTGGTATGAACGCTTCTACAAGGATATTGTTTTATTTGAAAACGCTGGGCATTAAAAAAAAATGGCTGCCGTTTTTACTTATCACTAATAATAGTTAATACTTGCATGATCTGTGCCGCCATCTTGAATTTATTTAGTGGCCACCGTTTTTATATAAAACAATACCCTTACAGGAGCACTACATACCAAATTTCATGGTATATGAATGACAGTGAATATGTGCCGCCATCTTGGGAAACCAGAGACCATTTTAAATTTCCTAAGTGGCCAGCGTTTTTGCATAAAACAGAAGGAGCATCATACCAAATTCAAGCTTATGTAGCATCATCTGCATAATTCAAGCATTTTATGGCATCTATCTGCCCCATATTTGTACCTATTGCAAATATTATTATTATCATTATGTATCAAGATATAAACCTATTCTTTGCAATTGTAAAATAGACGGCGGTTGTTCTGTCATGCGATAACGATTCTTAATCCCACATTTCTAGCTCCTACTTAAATACCTACCAATTCCTTGACTGTAATGCTCTAATCCACTTGTAGTTTCCGTTCTAATAACCTTCTGGAAATCCAAATGTCGTTCGATGACTCCTGCAATCGATAGTCTAAGGATAATATGTGTCAGTTAAAAGCAAGCACTTTATGTATTAGAATATACTTTACCCAAATTAACACTTACTTCTAAAAGGCAGTTGCTGTAGTACTGCAGTGTCGATGATCGGAACACAGAAATCCGAATGGAAGCTCGCTGCGAGGCTGATTGTTTTGTTTCTATTCACTAAAAATAAATCTATTGGTAGGAATGACACTTAGTTTACGTATGGCACACTACCTGTACAAAAGGCACTCGGGCAAAGCCGAAGAAGGGAGGTACCAGTGCCCAAACTTTTATGTGAAATGCAATGACTGTGGTTCAATAACCTGAATTCTTGTTTTGTTTAGTCGACATCGGTCTCTGGCTGTACCTCAAGTACCGGCAAATTACCATTCTTATACTTTTTTTTACATGGTGGATGCCAATTTTCCGCCCGTAGACTATACCGCAATTTAGATTAACACTATAGAGCCCCTAGTCTAATTTACAAGTGGCGTGTGTAGTTGGGAGTGTCTTTGTAACAGTGAAATTGATTAGTTGGAGCTAGCTATGTACCATTAAGGTGTTATGATGCAGTACTATTCCTAATACGTATATCTTTTTAGGGCTTTATCTCCCCTCAAAGTTTTCTCTTCTAGACTACTTTTCTGATATTATACATATCTACCTGGATATTACCTATTATACCTACGCATTTTCACCTGGACCCGCGTCATCTTGGCGAGATTGACATAAGGTGACTCTTTTTTGTGTTGTTATGTTACAGATAAGGCAGAAGCGCCCTTTTGAGCTCAAAATATATTTATATTTATTTATTTATTCAAAACATTTAATTTAGGAAGTTGAAAATTTGAATCTTACCGCTAACCCACAATATAAAGGTTTCACACAATTCAACAATACAATTGCCTGCTCGCACTTATATTGATTGTGGAACAATTGAAATAGCAGATATTTCCCTTCTTTGAAACGATCATATTGAAGCTTAAATCCATACAATAAATGACTAGTTAGTTTGTTTTCATGAATAAATTGATAAAATCATACTCATTAAAATAAATTATGTAAAAATCTACCCAGATAATATTGCGAATATTTCTGTAATATACCAGGAATATTCAAAGGACATATTACCTAAAATATATATGTGCTTTGTAAGGTACACTAGGTATATGCGAATGGGAATATCTTACAATATTATCCATTTATATGATGCATATATTTCCACTTGGGATATTCTGAAAATAAACATACAGAATATTCTCAGTTTATCTTTCTGAATATCCTTGGAATATGCCAGACAAACGTATATATTCATAGATTTGGAATATTCCAGCATGAATATTCTAAGAATATCCAATGTTGCCTAGGTATGAAATTATCACTTCTGCTTCAATTCAATGTTTGCGCCGCCGTCCAGACGCATAGTTCAACATTCACGATAAAAATCCCTTGCAAATGCCATGCTTTGTTAAACGATGCAACTTCAAACGCTCGTTCCAATTTGTCACGAAATCGCAGTGGTCGCACTGGAAGTTTTCGTGCGTCTTGTGGGCGGGCATGTGTTGTCCGAGAAGTTCGGGCAGATCTGTCGTGAAATCGCACTGCTCGCACTTAAAACGTTTTTTAGGGGCGTGCGACACAAGATGGCACTTCAGACCGCGCTTAGAATTCGTGATATAGCCGCAGTGGTAGCACTGCAAGCAATCCGATTGGCTATGCATTAACACGTGCTTATCGAACGCCTTTTTGATCTTTGAACCATAACTGCACTGATCGCATTGGAAAACTTTGGGAACGGCGTGGTGCTTTGAAATATGCATTTTTAGGTGTCCCATTCTGATTGTCTCATAGTTGCAGTGCTTGCACTTGTAGTCTTTCAAGATGGGGTGGACTAATTTCATATGTTGCGCAATTCGTGACTTTACATTTGTTGTGTAATCGCAACGGTCACACTTAAAGTCTGCCTCTGATTTGTGTGATGAAAGATGCTCCTTTAAATTGATGGGTGAATTTGTTGTGAAGCTACATTGATCGCACTTCAGATTAGTACTGTGTACTAATAAATGTTTCTTGAAGTACGGTTTAACGTTTGTTGCAAAATTGCACTGGGGACATTTCAGTTCTTTAGTTGTCACATGCTTTGACAACTGGTGTCGTTTTAATGTATCATTTCTATGTGATGAATAATCGCATTCGTCGCATTTAAATGGTTTGTAGTTGCTATGGACTAACATATGCTGTTTGAGTAGAGTCTTTACATTTGTTTCATAATTGCACTGATCACACTTGAGTTCCTTTGTAGTCTTGTGCATAAGAAGATGAAATCTAAAGTTATCTTTGCGATCAGTAAAATAGTCACATTGATCGCACTTCAAATGAGTACTGTGTATTAATAGATGTTTCTTGAAATACGATTTAACGTTCGTTGCGAAATTGCACTGGGGACATTTCAACCCTTTAGATGCGACGTGTTTCGCTAACTGATGTAGTTTTAACGCGTGATTTCTATGTGACGAATACTCGCATTGGTCACATTTGAACGGTTTGTGGTTGCTATGGATCAACATATGCTGTCTGAGTTGATTCTTTATATTTGTCGCATAACTGCACTGATCACACTTAAGGTCCTTTGTGGTTTTGTGCATAAGAAGATGAAGTCTCAAGCTAGCTTTTCGATTTGTAGAATAGTCACATTGGTCGCACTTCAAATGAGTACTGTGTATTAATAAATGCTCCTTGAAATACAGTTTAACGTTTGTTGCGTATTTACACTGGGAACACTTCAATTCTTTAGTTGTGACATGTTTTGCTAACCGATGTTGTTTTAACATAGCATTCGTATGTGATGAATAATCGCATTGGTCGCATTTAAAGGGTTTGTAGTTGCTATGGACTAACATATGCTGTTTGAGTTTACTTTTTACATTTGTTGCATAGTTGCACTGATCGCATTTAAAGTCTTTTGCGGTTTTGTGCATAAGAACATGAAGTTTGAAGTTAGTCTTTCTATCTGTAGAATAGTCACATTGATCGCACTTCAAATGAGTAGTGTGTATTAATAAATGATCCTTGAAATACGGTTTAACGTTTGTTGCAAAATTGCATTGGGAACATTTTAACTGTTTAGATGCGACATGTTTTGTTAACTGATGGCGTTTTAATACATCATTTCTATGTGATGAATAATCGCACTGGTCACATTTAAATCGTTTGTGGTTACTATGGATTAACATATGCCGTTTGAGTTGTTTCTTTACACTTGTTGTATAATAACACTGATAACACGCAAGCTGCTTTGCAGATTTGTGAATGAGAAGATGACATTTTAAATGAGCCTTTTTGTCTGTAGAGTAGTTACAATCACCACATTTTAAATGTTTGGGAGTACCATGTGTTATCAAATGTTCGTCAAGATTTTCTTTTAAATTTGTTACGTAATCACATTTAAGGCAGTTTAACGTTAAATTCAAAATGTTTGTACCATATTTTATATCATCTTCTTCCTTCACGTTTTGAGGAACTATGTTGACATGCACCATTTCCTGCATAGACGAATCGATATCTTCGTCTATGGGTTCCACTTTCACGTCGGGCCCCTCTTGTTTTGGTTCTACTTTCATGTCAGGCTCTTCTTCTTTTGTTTCCACTTTAACAATTACAGCGGCGTAATCGGCGGCCATAGTTGGAACTAAAATTACAATACCTAATAAATTCTTGATTTTCACAATAGATTGATTAATGGCCGCATAAGTATTATTAGTGGTTTATTTCAACGAATGATACTACCATCAAATTTGGTATGAACGCTTCTACAAGGATATTGTTTTATTTGAAAACGCTGGGCATTAAAAAAAATGGCTGCCGTTTTTACTTATCACTAATAATAGTTAATACTTGCATGATCTGTGCCGCCATCTTGAATTTATTTAGTGGCCACCGTTTTTATATAAAACAATACCCTTACAGGAGCACTACATACCAAATTTCATGGTATATGAAAGACAGTGAATATGTGCCGCCATCTTGGAAAACCGGAGACCATTTTAAATTGTGGCCAGCGTTTTTGTATAAAACAGAAGGAGCATCATACCAAATTCAAGCTTATGTAGCATCATCTGCATAATTCAAGCATTTTATGGCATCTATCTGCCCCATATTTGTACCTATTACAAATATTATTATTATCATTATTCTTTGCAATTGTAAAATAGACTGCGGTTGTTCTGTCATGCGATAACGATTCTTAATCCCATATTTCTAGCTCCTACTTAAACACCTACCAATTCCTTGACTGTAATGCTCTAATCCACTTGTAGTTTTCGTTCGAATAGTCTTCTGGATATCCAAATGGCGTTCGATGACTCCAATCGATAGTCTAAGGATAATATGTCAGTTAAAAGCAAGCACTTTATGTATTAGAATTAGGATATACTCTACCCGAATTAACAATTACTTCCAAAAGGCAGTTGCTGTAGTAATGCAGTGTCGCTGATCGAAACAGCACAGAAACCTGAATGGAAGCTCGCTGCGAGGCTGATCGATTTGTTTCTATTCACTAAAAATAAATCTATTGGTAGGAATGACACTTAGTTTAGGTATGGCACACTACCTGTACAAAAGGCACACAGGTATGGCCGGAAAAGGGGGTACCAGTGTCCAAACTGTACGGAATTTATATAGGTTGATAATACGACTGTGGTTAAATAACGTGTTTTGTTTAGTCAGTAATCAGCCTCTGGCTGTACCTCAAGTACCGGCAAATTACCTTTCTCACAATTTTTTTTTACATGGTTGCAAGTACCCAATTTTCCGCCCGTAGACTATACCGCGATTCAGATTAACACTATAGAGCCGCTAGTCTAATTTGCAAATGGCGTGTGTTTTGTAAAGGGTCATTGTAACAGGTGAAATTCGACTATAATTTTAAAGCGATGAACCGTTTTTTGAGACTAGAAAATATTGTGGTAAATTAAGGGTTTAATCTACAAAATAAAGCTGTTTAATGACAAACTGATAAATTGAACAATTGAAAGGATAAATCATGTATCAACTACATTCACCCATTCTTCATCTTCTTGGAAACGATCATATTGAAGCTTAAGGGTGTATTCCACTTAAATTTTAATTCTATTTGACGTATGATGGGTTGCATAATATTTACTTGTAATGAAATGGTAAGGAATAAACAAAGATTCAAGAATTTACCTGCCCAACCATTGTATAAAGCTTTGAATATAGATTTATAATCAAAGGTATAAAGTAAACAAGTAATTACGCTAATTTACCCAGGTCATTAGTCATTGTAACGAATATGGATATATAATTAAACATCGATTAGAAAACGGAAATCATTGTCACAACGGCTAATCCTGAATAAATTCACTTTTCCCAGTTTTTAATAAGACATATATATTTTAACCCAGTAATTACTCCATGAACTGTATTGACCCTATCTGGAAAATAACGCATGTAAGCGAATAAGTACCTATGGCTATAAATTAGATATCTTTAAAAAAATGCATTTTTTTTACTAATATTCTAGATGTGTTACAAAAAATCGTCTAATTCGGGAACAACACAAAATAAATGAGAACTAACGCTTTTTACGCAAATTATATCTCTTTCCGAAGGGATGCTACATGGGAATAATCTCAAATTTGTATCACCCTGAAATTTTAGGGGTGTTTCAAAATTTCGTCTAATTCGGGAACAACATAAAATAAATGAGAACTAACGCTTTTTACGCAAACTATATTTCTTTCCGAAGGATGCTACAGGGAAATAATCTCAAAATTTTATCACACTAAAATGTTAGGAGTGTTACAAAAAACGCCAGAAAAGACGCAAACTTTTAATTCACCCAAAAATAAATCACATTTTCCGTGTGAATTCTATTACCCAGTATATTATGGAATTATAATACGTTCTAATGAATCCGGTTTCTATTTGTAAATTAGTCCCGATAAACGCAACAATGCCGCTAATGAAGTCAGGCCTGCAAGTTTTCGTAAAAAATTTCGAATGAATATTTCGTCTAAAATATTTTGTAATTTATGTGAAAGGATGGTCGATAGCTCTGTGGTTTGCTAATGTTTTTTCTGAGTATGCTACAGGGAGATTTTTAAAATAATTTGTGTTGACGCCATTTTACCTATAAAAGTTCACTTTTTATTGGCAGTGCTCTAAAAAATAGTTTTTTCTTAAATATTAAAATTTTGTTCTGTAGCATACTTTTTAAATGTATAATTTACACGAAAAAAATTAGCCCCGTCTTTCATCTCATGTTTTACAGAATTGAGACGAAATATAAATCGCACTATTTTCGCATAAATGTTGTACTACTGGATTACACCCTTAAATCCATACAATAAATGATTAGTTATTATGTTTTCATGAATAAATTATGAGATCGCTTTGGTAGCTACACAAAATCATACTCATTAAAATAAATTGATTATGTAAAAATCTACCCAGATAATATTGAACATTTCTGTAATATACAGGGAATATTCAAAAAGGACATTTATTAAAGATACCTACAATATATATGTGCCTATATGCGAATGGGAATATCTTACAATATTATCCATTTACATGATGCATATATTTCCACTTGGAATATTCTGAAAATAAACTTCTGTTTTTTCCATGTATATGAAGTATATATACTATTTCGGATATTCTGAACAAAAACTTGAAAAAACCGGTACCCATTCGTGTTAATATTCCTAGAACATGCTCGAGACTTCATATGTAATTTGGCGGCATGAATTTTCACAGCACATTCATAAGGTTATTAGAATAGGTATGTAGTATATAATACAATTCTCATACATCATTTAACTTATCGGTCAGTAGGTATAAGGCGTTTCAGGGGCAACGCTCTTATAAAAACAAAACATATCCCATATTCCTAATGATTTATCCTGAAATTGACACATGATTGTGACAAAACGAATATTCCTCATACATCCAGGGAATTTTATAACAGAATATCCTTGGAATATGCATTCATAGAATATTCTATGGATATTTGGAATATTCGAGGATGTTAAAATATTCTAAGAATATCCAATGTTGCCTGGGTATGAAATTATCACTTCCGCTTCAATTCAATGTTTGCGCCGCTGTCCAGATCAATAGTTCAACATTCACGATAAAAATCCCTTGCAAATGCCATGCTTTGTTAAACGATGCAACTTCAAACGCTCGTTCCAAGTTGTCACGAAATCGCAGTGGTCGCACTGGAAGTTTTCGTGCGTCTTGTGGGCGGGCATGTGTTGTCCGAGAAGTTCGGGCAGATCTGTCGTGAAATCGCACTGCTCGCACTTAAAACGATTTTTAGGGGCGTGCGACACAAGATGGCACTTCAGACCGCGCTTAGAATTCGTGATATAGCCGCAGTGGTAGCACTGCAAGCAATCCGATTGGCTATGCATTAACACGTGCTTATCGAACGCCTTTTTGATCTTTGATCCATAACTGCACTGATCGCATTGGAAAACTTTGGGAACGGCGTGGTGCTTTGAAATATGCATTTTTAGGTGTCCCATTCTGATTGTTTCATAGTTGCAGTGCTTGCACTTGAAGTCTTTCAAGATGGGGTGGACTAATTTCATATGTTGCGCAATTCGTGACTTTACATGCGTTGTGTAATCGCAACGGTCACACTTAAAGTCTGCCTCTGATTTGTGTGATGAAAGATGCTCCTTTAAATTGCTGGGTGAAGTTGTTGTGAAGCTACATTGATCGCATTTCAGATTAGTACTGTGTACTAATAAATGTTTCTTAAAGTACGGTTTAACGTTTGTTGCAAAATTGCACTGGGGACATTTCAGTTCTTTAGTTGTCACATGCTTTGACAACTGGTGCCGTTTTAATGTATCATTTCTATGTGATGAATAATCGCATTCGTCACATTTGAATGGTTTGTAGTTGCTATGGACTAACATATGCTGTTTGAGTAGAGTCTTTACATTTGTTTCGTAATTGCACTGATCACACTTGAGTTCCTTTGTAGTCTTGTGCATAAGAAGATGAAATCTAAAGTTATCTTTGCGATCAGTAAAATAGTCACATTGATCGCACTTCAAATGAGTACTGTGTATTAATAAATGTTTCTTGAAATACGGCTTAACGTTTGTTGCAAAATTGCACTGGGAACACTTCAACTCTTTCGATGTGACATGCTTGGCTAACTGGTGTAGATTTAAGTGACTCTTTCTATTTGTTGAATAATCGCATTGGTCACATTTAAATGGTTTATAATTGCTATGAGTTAACATATGCTGTTTGAGTAGATGCTTTACATTCGTTGCATAATTGCATTGCTCACACGCGAGCTCCTTTGTGGTTTTGTGTCTAAGAAGATGAAACTTTAAATTAGCCTTTTTGTCTGTAGAATAATTACATTGATCACATTTCAAATGTTTTGGAGTACTGTGCGTTATCAAATGTTTGTCCAGATTTTCTTGTAAATTTGTAACGTAATTACACAGATCACATTTAAATTTCAAGTCATCATCTTCTTCCTTCACGGTTTGAGGAACTATGTTAACATAAACCATTTCCTGAATAGCCGAATCAATATCTTCCTCTTGTTTTGGTTCCACTTTCACATCCAGCTCTTCATGTTTTGGTTCCACTTTCACATCAAGATATTCTTCTTTTGATTCCACTTTAACAACTACAGTGGCGTAATCGGCGGCCATAGTTGAAACTAAAATTATAATATCTATAAGTTACTAATTTTAGCAGACCAAATATAATATATAACTTTTCTAATTATCTGCTTTACTGATCAGTATGAAAGTACCTGTACCGAAAAGGTATGGACTAAATGTTGCCACTAAACAAAAAAAAAAGGTATTAAAGCACCTAACGCTACTCGCCATTCAGATTAACATTAGACGCGCTGATGGTGGAATTTACAGATGCCGTTTTTGAGACTTGAAAATATATAATATATGTTTATTTCTCAATATAATAACATGATTTACAATAAAAAAAGAAAATTAAACTTGTAAATAAATCACATTGAGAAATATTAGGGGTCCCATAGACAACGTCCGTGGTGAGACCTCCCTCATGTATTGCATATTATATACCCGCGAAAAGAGAATTAGAGCCAGTCATTTATAATAAGAAAAACAAACAATATAATAATAAAGAATAAAGCTGAAAAGATTACGGATTACATTTACTGGCAGTCTTTAAAATTTGAGTAGAACTGAGAATAATATAACTTGTAAACAATTATCATAAAATAACTTAAAAATAATTTCAGAGAATCCAAAAAGAAAAGTAAATATAAAGCATAAAAAATCAAACTATTTACGAAACCACATAAAAACTAAGCCGCAAAACTAAAAAAATCATCCTCAATGTTTTCAGTAGCCAACAATAGTTTTTTAAGTTGCAATAATAATAAATAGATAGAATAAATAGAACCCGTTATTCCTATCCTATACCTGGCTGCAAGGCCTTTTTCTTAAGAACTCGAGGGTGTCTTAAATTTTAAATTACACGCAATTAATTTTATTTTCCAATTACAATTTATTTATCATTCACTCGTACAGGTTTACAACAACTCGCCGACATTCCCTTACGTCGATTATGCTTTAAAACAGCCTTACGATTCGTGGGACAATTACACTGATCACAATTTTAAACAATTCTTTAAAGCCACTTTAAGTTATGCTTATCGTTAGTAGCGCAATTACACTGTTCACAAATCAAATCAAATGTGCTGTGCTGAACAGCGCCGTTAATTAATTGTTAAGCTGTTCCAAATCGAGTTGTTCACACTTTATCAGTCTTGCAGACATGCCGGGGTATAGATAACGACAACAGTTGTTGCGCAGGAAAATTCCACTTAACAATAGGTATTAATTGGATTAATAATTTTGAATGCGCTTAATTGGGGACTTTTTAATGAGTTGTAGAAAAAACCGGCAGAAAACGTCCAGAGTTATATCAAAATGAGCGCGCTTAAAAGACAGGAAGTCGGATGTCCATCTTATATTTTTCCGATAGCTACATCAGGCAATGAGATGAAATAGTAATAATGAATTATTATTATTATTATTTTACTAATTGATATTTAATTTCGAAAGATCACCGACTGTGTGCGAGCCCAAAGTTCGTCGTCACAGAGTGTGTCAAAGAATGACGTATTTTTTTTGGTAATTGCACTGTTCACAATTGAAGAATGCGGAAATGTTACGCGTTAGACGATGATTCTTTAACTTTTCCTTATTATCGGTTGTCTAATTGTGCCGTTCACAATTAAAGACAGAAAACATGCGTTACGACAACAATTTCTTAAATCATCCTTATTGTTGGTTGCATAATTGCACTGATCACATTTAAAATTCTTGAAAGTTACGTGTTATAATGTGAATCTTGCACTTTAAGGTGTAGGTATAATTACATCGATTGTAAATGCAATTTTTTCTCTACTATTACTTACATTTACAGCCGTAAAAACTACAATATTGATTACTTTCGCCATTTCAAATAAACAAAACGGCGATTTTATACCACCAATAGTAATTACAACGTGCCGCCACCAGAGGTCTCGCTGTTTATCTAAATCGCGAATCAGCCACAATAGTAAATAAATGAGACAAACGCATATCAGATTAAAGAAAGGAATTGTTATAGTAAAAATAGTAAACCAATAACAAGAACAATATAAAATGCAGATCAAACAAATAATATCTACCATCATAAGATCATGTTCCTGCTTTCATTTGTTTATAATCTCACATAAACTATTTGTTGCTTAGTAACCATTTGAAAGTAATGGGCCATTTATACTTTGTGGTTCGTTTGGGAAGAAAAAAAGTTTATTTGTACTTTCAGTATACTCTAGCAACTAACCTACATTTCGTAACTCCTTACATACCTCCCAATCACTTGATTGTGATGCTATCCAACCATTTCCTTTCTAATATGTTTGTGGTTGTCGATGACTCAAATCTTGCCCTAAAGATAATGTATTAGTTAAAAGCAAGCATTTTACACCACCACAGAATGTGACAGATCTGATCAGACATGATCTATCACAAGTTTGGGTGTCAACACTTACCTCTAAAAGCCAGATGATGTAGTAATGTGGTCACAACACGGATATCCGAATGGACACATTTAACCTCTCAAACTTGCTGCGAGGTTGCTCCTTTCTGTTTACAATGGACAAATCTATTGATACAATTGGAGTAGGTATTACAAAATAATACCTGTACGAGAAGCACTCAAGCACAGCCGTACACAAGGGGCACCCAGTAATCTTAATGGTATTTCTGTAGGTCTTCAGGTCACTGTAATGTGTGGCAACGGCTGTGGCTAAATAACCGAAATTCCTGTTTTGTTTATCCAAGATAAACCTCTGACTGTATCTCAAAACCCGCTGAATATTCCCATTTAAAATACACAACAAAAATTCAATTTATTTACTATGCGTCATGTAACACCAGGGAAACCTTCTAGGGAACAAAAACCCCGGCATAGCCTACACAAATACATGAAATAAATCTACGACAACGAAATGCAAAAGAACAAATGCACATAAATAAAACATATCAAATTGTACGATAAAAAAAAGGGGGTAGCGAATCAAATGCAGTTAAACAAATTGATATAAACAAAATACACGAGACGTCATAAATGCAAGTGGAAAAGATGATAAATCGATTTAGTACAAAAACACATTCAAAATGGCCCTTACCGCCCCCACCGAGAGGCAGACAAAAATGACACAAAAATGCGTACCTAATTCAGCGGAGTTGGTCAGTAAGTTATTTGTTGTTGTAACAAAGTTGTTATTGGTGGGAAGAGTTCTGCAGCTAGCCGCGCGTCAAAAAGATAAATAAAGGAACTTACCGTAGCGCTAGTGTCGCGTTGTGAATAGACAAGTGTAAAGTGTTTCAGGTTTTTCTTTGAAATATTTGCATTTCCAGTAGTTCAAGCTAATATTTCTTTACATATAAATTGTCGGTCTAGAACCACTAAATCTTATACTTTTTAAGGTATTTTTTCAAAAAATTCCCGGACCCCCCTCGTCTTTCCCCTCCCGTTCCGGGATTCCGCCCCCACCCACACATTTCTATTCGGCCTACAACGCAGAGCAGTGCGCATCGTTGCTGGCATAAGCTACCGAAGTGACAGTCGAAATATTTTCAAAACGTTGAAAATACTCATCCTTCCCGAATATCTTTATACTAGAGGCAATTCTATTCATAAAAAAACATTCCAACTATGCTACTCACCAGTGTATGCATGAATATAAAACCAGAGGAAGATATAACATAGTTTTGAAAATATGAGCAAAAAATTTTACAACAAGCTACCACAGCATGTTCGCGATCTTCCAAAAAAATGCCTAAAAACCAAAATCAAAGCCTTCCTGCTAGACAATGCCTTCTATTCAATTGAAGAATTCTTAAAAGCGGATAATATTTCATAGTTTGTACCATTTTTGTAACCGTTTGTCTCTTTTTCTCGTTATGTTACTTTGTTATTTTACCTTATTGTTTTTTTTGTTAATACCTACTGGATCAATCATATTATGTTAATTTTGACGAGTGTAAATCGCAGAGCAATATATATATATATATATATATATATATATATATATATATATATATATATATATATCCTTGGTGGTGATTGGAGGTAGCTACTCCCCCCATACAGCATAGACCCTGACTTGGCCCAATTACATCGTTGGTGTAATTTTTCCAGCGTCTTCTTTGTTCCACAGTGACCTACACTAATTCCCTCGCGCAGCTGTTTCAAGACTTCTGGAACTTTAGTCCCCGGAATCAACAGCTGTGGTCTCTGTTCCATCGTCACTCTCCGGAATACGCTTTAGAAGATCGTTCTCAATCACCAACGAATCCCATTACGCCTTCACATTGGAAGAATAAGGTGCTATCTCTTACCAATCGGGTTCGCCGTCCATTTTTCTTCCCACCCAATAGTCGGTTTCAGATCCGGTGCCAGCTCTATGTTCGATGGTGAAGTCGTATTCTTTCGTTCCATCTTACAATCTGGCCTTCTGAATTTTCAAAATTTCAACTTTCCCCTCTCCATCTTGTTTTTGGGAAAAAAACACCTCCAATTGCGACGTAACTGGCCTCGGTATCCGAGAGGATAACACATATCGGCGCAGTCGTTAAACGCCTTTTCAACTCCTGAAAAGCAGCGGAACTCTATTATGTCCAATCAAAAACGTTTGTATCTTCAGTAAGGCTAGTCAGAGGTTTGGCAATTGTTGCAAAAACCGCAGTGTAATCAGTGCACAGGTCGAAAAAACGTTTTACCTTTAGTATATTAATTGAAATTTGCCATTGCCTACACAGCATGTCCAACATGTCATCGTCAATTGCCATCGTCAAGCAGGCGACCTCTTCATACTGAGAAGGATCGTGCATTACGTTTAGAACGACGATAATTTTGCCCAGAATTTCCATGGAATTCATTTCGTCGATATCGCCACAAGTCCAGTCCCTAGAAGTTCGCTTCGTCACAGAGTAAAGAACGGAGAGGGTACAAACTTGAACGCTTCCCGCACCTGAAGCCTCCCATCGTCGGTTTTGAGCAGGTTCGTCGTCTGATTAAAGCCTCTTCGGACTGTCTCGATACAGGTAGTGCTCACGTTTGCGTATACGTCATTCACCACCTCAAAGTACTCTAAATTTTGCAATGAAATTGTGATTGAATCGAGAGCATTGTACCTGGATAATCCAAACCGACACCAAGCGATGCACTCGACGCGTACGAGATATCGACAATGTGCGGAAAACGAACCCTCATCCACGTGACCAACATACCAGGATAGGAGCACCCGCGTATTACCACCGTACTGTTAGCCAAACCGGGAGTTGTCAACTTGAAGTGCTCAATAAAGTAGGCCAAGTCTTCCAGTGCCTGCTCCATCTGCAAGTACCTCAGCTTCTCGGTGGAAAAATCTTTCCCAAACGGCAAACTCTTCCCGTAATACCGATGCTCGGTTTCGACCAGAAAACCATTGTGCTCTTGGGCGAGCTCGGCCAAGCCGCCCATCATAAGCGACGAGCCGTCGATCGTCCACTCGCCCCCAACTTCAATAAACAGCGGACCCCCCGACTTGAAAAACTTGTCACTGGTGAGGTACCTCTAAAATCGTACTAGCAATAATCATATCATCGCCATTGACGCGATCTCACCATACGCCAGGTTCGATTATCGAACAAATTAAAATGATCTAAAGGCACATCGAGCCAGTGTTCCGTAATACCGGCTGTCATGTACAGTAGTTTCCGAAACAGATCTCCCATTACTGACCCAAATGTCGAATTGCCGAACATCGGATCGACCTCCTCCGATGTTGAATTGCCAGCATCCTCCGAGGTGTCATTTTCTGCACACGTCAGCGTGGCAAACTAAACGCAGTTGTTAGCGAGTGATCGCCGATTATGCGTACCCGTACTCACCAAACATAGGAAGACGATAATTATTGCGATCTTCATTTCCTGTTTACTACTCGAATTTTACTGAACGTACTAAGAAAACATGATAACGCTTGGATATTTAAGGTATTGGTCAATTCGATTATCTAATTCACTATTACTAAATCGTTGCCAAAACAGGAGATTAGTTTGATAATCCCACATTTATTAATTCACATAGTAAACATGATGGTAAAGGTCAAATGTGCTTGATAATATTAGGATCTTTTAATAACTTCCACTAATACAGTAACGTTAAGCGCGTTTCGAAACTCTGCCTAGACTTGTGGTTTTAAAACGATCACTTTTGCATACCTTTCGGCCCGTTCGGCACCCAAAAGTAATAGTTTTTAAGACATACCAAAAAATGTCTCTGCTTCATCCCTACTTTCGCAACCACACCTTGAAAATGGTGCTAATTGGTTTTAGCGGACGTCTTTGCTACAACTCAATTTAGGCAAAACAAATTTTTTGGGAATATAACGATTCGATAATAATAATAATAAATAAAAAAATTTGAGAAATAATTTAACGTTCATATTTCTCTACGCCTTCAGGCGGTGGGGGTATTCCATACGCCCCAGTTCCACAGTCTTCTCCAAAATACATTTTCGGGAATATTCAGATGTGATGGTTTATATAAAAAAACCTTTGAGGAATAACGTAGCAGCGGGGGGTCTGAGGGTGTACGAGTAATAATTATTGAACACACTTTTTACAATTTCAGTGTTTTATTTTACGTTCCTTCCCCCTAAGGCCGAAGGGGCAACTGCCTTTTATTATTTCCGTGTTGTATAGTGTGAATATAGCGTTGAATCTGGCGAAGGTTAAGTACACTACGGTATTTTTCGGGAGGAAGACAACATTGGATAAAAAATTAAAATAAAATAAAAATAGAAATAGTCTGGGAAAAAAAGAACTTACCAATAAAAAAACCAGCCGTCAAATTAATATCAAATTGTGTTGTAAAATTAATTGCTTGTAATGATGTTAATGCGTAACATAAAATTATAGCATCACAAAAAGTAGCAGGTAAACTTCAAGAGGTAACATATAGATTAAAAACAAGTTTTGGGAATTATAGGTCAAGTAAGCAGGTACCAAGATTCTAAGAAAGGGTGAAATACACAGGATGTAACTCACCTTTGGTGCTATAAAATCCCTTTGTTAAAAGCAAGATGGAAAATTACATGGCCTTATAGGCAAATTCAACTAAAGACAAAATATGTGGAAATTACGAATCGTAACTCATTTATCGCATATTGACTCTAAATTGAAGAGCTTTGATTAGCGTAATCCCGCTCCTGCGAGATAGGTAACCCGCCCCTCGTTCGGGGTTTCGAGCCTACAGTTGAAAGTCGAAGACAATCACGGGATTAGGTGTCGTAGCTCAAATTTGACTACAGTTTTAACCACCCCCGTGATTGCTTCATTCACGGAGAAAAATGTTAGTAACAAACAACAAGTCAGCACATACATCAAACGAATCGGTCATTTCTACATATTAAAATAAAATGATAAAAACATGAATGTTACTTCAGGGACAAGACCAAGAAACCAACATCAATAAACATAAATTAAGCACGCATTACACCAAAAACGTAAACAATTACAAACAAATAGGATATCGGTATTAAACGTGTCATTCTGCATTTCGGTTAAACCATGTAAATTTCAAAAACGAAGATTGAAACACACAAAAAATATAAAACGCGGCATACAAAACACAAATACGATATTTAAAAAATGCAAAAATTACTACCTGCATTAAATAACACAAAATAACAACAAACATTTATGGAGCATATTAGGGAATGCAATACCGGGATCCCGCAGCATTTTTGCGGGATTAATCCCGCACATAAATGGAGCGGGATCCCGCGGGACTGAGGAGTTTGTCGACCAAGTGGACGACTCTGTTTACTTTCTTAATGAAACGCATAACGGAGAAGTTATTTTTCATAAAATTGTTAAACTTTTTTCGTTAAAAATTTACTAAGATTTTTGAGGCACTTTAGAAGTTCACCTTTTTGTGCTTCACAGGTGAGGTTTTTTTGAGTTCTAAGTTAGGCCGAGGGTACTTTTTTGTTAAATATTGTGATAATTAGCGACTTATTTTAATGCAGAAGTTAACCGCACAGAATTGCTTTGTTGCCAAATTATTTAAAGTTTTGCGGGATCCCGCAAATACCGGGATCCCGCGGGGTTGACATCTAGCAATCCCGCAAATATCGGGATTGAGATTTTGCTGCGGGATTGCATTCCTTAGTCACAATCTATAAGAAAATTTTTTTCACTTTTTCTTATTAATTTTGGGACGTAGAATCCAAAACAATTCGTACTTTTTCGATCAGACTTCTCATTCAAAAGTTATAGACTAGACACCAATTTCGAAAAAAAATTCAAAGGGCCGTAACTTTTGAACTAGTAGCCCAATCTTGGAACTGTTTGAAATTATGGATTCTACAGGCCACATTCTATAAGAAAAATTTTTTTGCCGGTCGATCTGAGACAATTTTCTTTTCGAGCCTCAAAAAAAGGCAGTGTATAACCTTCCTTTTTTACCAAAAATCGACTGCACCAAAATTTCTCGAGAAAACACTTTTTCTTATTAATTTTGGTGCGTAGAATCCAAAACAATTCGTACTTTTTCGATCAGACTTCTCAATCAAAAGTTATAGACTAGAAACCAATTTCGAAAGAAAATTCAAAGGGCTGTAACTTTTGAACTAGTAGCCCAATCTTGGAACTGTTTGAAATTATGGATTCTACAGGCCACATTCTATAAGAAAATTTTTTTCCGGGTCGATCTGAGACAATTTTTTCTTCAAGCCTCAAAAAAGGCAGTGTATAACCTTCCTTTTTTACCAAAAATCGACTGCACCAAAATTTCTCGGGAAAACACTTTTTCCTATTAATTTTGGTGCGTAGAATCCAAAACAAATCGTACTTTTTCGAACAGACTACTCAATCAAAAGTTATAGACTAGAAACCAATTACCGGGATCCCGCAGGATTAACATCTAGCAATCCCGCAAATACCGGGATTGAGATTTTGCTGCGGGATTGCATTCCCTACAGCATATATTGAGAGAATATTCCAAGAAGAATTAATGTTATCTATATACCTATTATAATAACCTTATGAATTCAATATTCATACTTCCATTGCACAAGTGCACGAATACTCGAGAATATTCGTCTGTTGCCAGGTGATTTTTGTAATATGCATTAATATGATTGGTTGAAATTTTCTGAGGGCAATTGTCACAATAAATGGAGAATATTCTTTTAAGTTTATTCCCAGAATAACTGAGATATTCCCATTCGCATATTCATAGAATATCTTACAAGGCACGTATATATTCTAGATAAATTAGATACTTTTATTTCCACGTTCATCATTGGATATACACAAAAACATACAAAAAATAACAATATGTTCTAAAAAAAGGTACCTATATTTAATGCATGCACAAATATACTTTTTTGAATATTCCTGGTATATTACAGAAATATTCAATGTTAGCTGGGACACGCTCGGTGATGGCGCCCAGAACACAAAAATTTGCTTGAACGTTTGGACGACTAACCGGGGGGGTCTGGGAAACCCCCCAGGTGAAAAAAGGATTTAATGTTCATTTCACTACACCTATCATAAAATCTTCGACAGCAGGGGGAGGGGAGGGGGAATTCAACTGAAATGATTGATCTTTATTTTAACCACCTTTTAAACCATAATGCGGAAGGGCCCCTTGTGACATGTTCCATTCGGTACATACGATTTTTTCCACACAGTCACAATGAGATTAAAAGCACTTAAGATACTGATTCAGTAACCCATTAAGTACTTAAAGATAAGATCATCGCGTTACGTTGTCATGCAAAAATAAGTAAAACACAAATTGAAAATAATTATTGTATAATTACTCCCCTTTTGAAACTTACAGTACAATAAGTTTAAATAAACAATTTTAATTACATTAGGTACATACAATTAAAGATTACCTATCAGTGACCTACCGTTTTGTCCCCCCCCCCCCAAATCACATTTATGTACAACTTTTTTTGGTCCAAAACGGACGCAAGCGTTTTAATAATAGGTCGACTAAAGGCGCAAAACCTTTAGCTGGTTAGGCCCACCGTCCGCCTTCGTATCCTCGCGTACGGTCCGATATCCGGATCCATGATGAAGTCGTACAGGACCGCCGACCACGAGTTGTGCTGAGGTAAATCGTCGTAAAATTCGGGCGCGATCTTTTTCACCTAAAATCAAAACTTTCAATAATAATAATAATTTTTATCCGTAGGATTAGTTAATCAGGGTAGACCTGAGCTCTAACAAGAGACAATAATAATAATAATAATAATCCAGATACACAAACGCTTGACAAAGTCAAAAGACTTATCTATCGGTTCCTTCGCAATACATACAATAATAATAATAATACTAATAATAATAATCTTTATTGAATAGAAACAACAAAAACATTATTTGGGTTAAGAAAAATCTTTATATGTTCTTCCCTATATACACCTAAACGTTTATCAAGGAAATGTTGACTTGAGCCATATTGTTTCCATGTAAAAAATTATTAAAAGTAAAAATTACGATTCTTCAAACTTCGAATGCTCTGCAACAGTGTGTAAACACAAAAAAAAAACAATCACTGAAATGGTTTAAAGCACTCTAGATAAACATCTGTCAAAAAGTCATTTTGTGTCAAAATAAACAAAAGATACAAGGTGTTCCATTAAATTAAAATATACAGAGTGTACCATTTAAGAAATGAGGTTTTGTTACCTGACTCCGCTTCTTGAAAGTTTCAGAGATTGAACTCGCCAAATCAAAAAATTGTGCAACCTGCAAGTACTCACCAGAGGCAGCCGTGAGCCCGGTACCGCCGGAAAATCGTGGTGCTCATTGTGGTACCCAACGTTGAACGTGATCCAATTCAATGGCCCGTAGTAGCTGTACGTCTCGAAACCTTTCTTGAACATGTAGTGCTCGGAGATGAAGTGCCCGGCGACCGGATGGAGCCCCATAGCCATAAGCGAACCGAGCACCAAGTACAACAGGACGCGAACACCTAAAGGAGAAGATTAATTACGAACGCGTCCCCTCGACCGTCTTACCGAAGAAGTACGCGACAATTACATCGAACACTAGCTGAATGACGAGATTGACGAACTCGAGGAGGGTCGGCGGTTTCGGGTTGACCATCAGCGGCCGAATCGTGTAGAAGAACGGCTGCAGCATCACCCAGAAGATCTTCCCGACGGTCGTGCAGAACAATTTCGCTTCGATGTACGTGGGAATGTCGGTGTCTATCAGCTCGTCGCCTTGATACTAAAATTGAACTGTAAACGTGCACGAAACGGGCCCACTTACCCGATGGTGCTCCAAGTGGTACTTCTTAAAGCTGATCGACACCGGCAGTCCGATGGGTAAGTTCGCAAAGAACCCGAACAGGCGATTGGCGAACGGACGAGCGTGACCGAAGGCCAAGTTGTGCGCGATTTCGTGTATCGCCAGCATGAGCGAGTGATTGATGACGCCGCCGAAGCAATAGGCGGCGAGCAGCGTAACGCCCCACGAACGGTCCCTCATTACGAACAGCATTGCGAATTGTATTGCGACCATGAATGAGACAACCCATTTGAAGTTGGGGTCGTATCCGAATAGCTTCTTGATCTGCGGATATTTCTCTGTGAAAGAAGTAATTAATTACAATTTAAATGGCCGGCAAGAGTCCAACCTAAAATTACTTTCCGTCTACTCGCGTGCGGTTCCTCCGTGTAGGTCCACTCGAAGTCCGTTCTCGAAACGCGCTGCCCCATTCCGCACTATTTTTTCGATTAAAATAAAGTCAAATGCGTTCAGTTTGACATGTCGAGGGATTTTAAATGAGAGATAATGATGTCACCGGCCGTCGGGCGAGTAACCTTCACCTTGAACCTTCCATCGCGAGATGTCGCTACGTTTTCATTGTCTCGTTCCGGCAGTTCCCAAAAGTTTACCATCACCGGTCTTTCCCATATTTCAGAGAAAGATATAGGTACTCGCTTTTACCGCCGACTAGTGACAGTACGATTTTTAGCGCATGTGGTGTTGTTTGCGGTTTGTCCGTCCGTCCGTCCGGCCCCACTTCTACCGTTTTGAACTACTTCTAGAGCCCTAGAATTTTTTGCAGTAGGTAGCCTATACCTTGAAGGTGTGCCAGACAGCCACCAAATTTCGCTGTCTGAAATGCCCCCCCCCCCCCCAAATTATTTCCTGAGATGCTGTTTTTGAAAGTAAAACGTGCATAGCTTTTACATAGGACAACCAATTGGTCTCAGATTTTGCATAGGCATGCCTTTAGTGGTGCCAAGTTAACTTTAGAAAATGGGGGAGGGAGGGGGGCAAACACGTGTTCTACTCTTCAAGGTATTCTAATGAAAGGTCTCATCCAAATAAATTGGTTTGTACAGGGTGGCCAACTAAGAATGCGAGGTGCTCTATCTGAGAATCTATCCATCGTAGAGGCTTGCGGTAAAAAAATTTATTACCAAAACGGTCACGAGAAAAAGCTGGAAAATATTTGTAAGTTTCTGAAATGACCGCTAGGGGGCGTAACTGCATTCTGGAATCTAAAAAACTGATGTTTCTGTGAATCCCGCTATATTAACGTAACAAAATAATGTCCGGTCTTTGAAGTTGACGATAATCGGAACAATTTTTGTTTGACAATTTTTCCTGTATCTCTAAAAATGAAGTGGTGGGGGGTATTCAAAAGTTTCCGTAAAGAACATCCTGTATCTTCGAAACGGCTGAGCCGATTTAAACAAACTCGGGTTTGTTCAAAAGAGCTATTCTTCAGCTTTCAGCTACAAATATTATTATTTCTGACAGAAATGGTTAATTTTCTCAAAAAAATTAAATGCGTTGGTTTGATTTTTTTAAAATGAAAAAGTAGCTAAATGATGCCTAAACAAGCTCGCGAAAACAGCATCTCGATATCTTGAGATATATTTTTATATCGTGACGGCCAGCATTTCGAGCATTTACGGCGGCATTAAATGCTTCCTTTTTTAAATCGATCCACCGTAGGACCACAAATTATATAATAAAAATAATTCCGGAAAAATTAGCTTAAAAAATAAAATTTTAAGCGTATAAAATTTTCTTTGGCCTAAATTTTAGGTTAGGAACAAGATATCGAGATGCGGTTTTTGCGAGCTTGTTTAGGCATCATTTAGCTACTTTTTCATTAAAAAAAAATCAAACCAACGCATTTAATTTTTTTGAGAAAATTAACCATTTCTGCCGGAATGTCGAAAAAAGCCCTCAAGCGGCGATATGTGAAACTAACAAAACTTCAAATATTATAATATTTGTAGCCGAAGAATACTCTTTTCAATTAACCCGAGTTTGTTAAAATCGGCTCAGTTGTTTCGAAGATACAGGGTGTTCTTTATGGAAACCTTTCAATACCCCCCACCACTTCATTTTTAGAGATACAGGAAAAATTGTTAAACAAAAAAGGTTCAGATTATCGTCGTATTCAAAGACCGGACATTTTATTTTAGGTTAATATAGCGGAATTCACAGAAAAATCACTTTTTTAAATTCCAGATTGCAGTTACGCCCCCTAGCGGCCATTTCAGAAACTTAAAAATATTTTCTAGGTTTTTCTCGTGGCCATTTTAGTAATAATTTTTTTTACCGCAAGCCTCTACGATGGACAGGTTCCCAGATACAGTACCTCGCATTCTTATTTGGCCACCCTGTACATACTATAACTTTCCCGTGCGGCTCTTTTTCGAGATCCGTGAGCGACGGGGCCTGAGAAGGGGGAGGTTAAAAATTAATTTTATCTCTCATTGTATTCTAATTAAAGATCTCAACGAAAGGAACCGTTTTCTACCAATTACTGCCCTGCTTTCTGTCCTCTTATCAAAGTACGGGGCGAGGGGGGGGAGTGGAACTAGTTTTATCCTTCATAGCACTCTAATGAAAGGTCTCAACGAAAGGAATTTATTTCTACCAACCGTAGCCCTCTTCCTCGACCTCTTATCGTGATCGGGTGTATTCACTTACACTTTGTGTGAAGCAAAACTATCGGGCACTCTTCGCCTAAGAAATTGTGCGCAGAAAGTAGTAGTATCGGGGGGTGTAGGGGGTACGAAATGCCCCCTTGTAGACGTTAATTCCATTGCCATTTCTAGGAAAGCACCGTGGGAATTCTGTTGCCTATAGAAAATGTGTAAGAAATCGTAAGAAATTGTGCAGAGAAAGTAGTACTGGGGGGAGGGGGGGATAGATTACCACCAAGTACACGTTAGATCCATTGCCATTTTTAGTAAAGCACCATGAGAATATTGAGGGTTACGGGAAGTGTTATCTATTTGTTCCTTGATGGGCGTCATTAGATTGAATTTGGATGGGGGGGGGGGAGCATTTCATAATTCCCAGACGCACATTGAGAATAGGTGAGAAACCTTGTATCAGGAGGAGCGTTTCGCTTGAAAAAGCGCTCCAAGCGGAAAAAGCGCTTGCGAACACTTTTCGGAGCGCTCGAGCGTTTACTTAAAGTGCTCGGCGCTCGAGTGCTTTTTTCTGCCCGCGAGCGGTTTTTGCGCTCATGAGCGTTTTCTCCCTCCCAAGCACTTTTTTCGCCCGCGAGTTCTTTTCCCGCTCGCGATGGCTTCTTCCGCTCCTGATCGTTATTTTTTGCTCGCTCGCGCTTTTAATCACCCTCAAGCGCTGAAGGATTAAGCGTCGCTTGCGAGAGTTTTTTCCCGCTCCCGATCGCTTTTTCCTCCCTTGAGCGTTTTTTCCGCTCACGAGCACTTATCCCGCGCGCTCGCGATAAACCGCTCGAGCACTTTTGGAAGTGCTCGGAACTCGGTGCCGGTTTCGCTTTGCAAAACAGCTCCATGCTCGAACCTAACCTGCAATCACCTCCACAAGCAGTTAGTTTAAGTGAGAAATCTTGTATCAGGAGAATATAATGTGCGAGGAGATTGCATGGTTAGGATAAAGTATTAGTGAGGTTAGGTTAGAGTGCCAGTTAGGTTAGGTGAGAAATCTTGTATCAGGAGAATATAATGTGCGAGGAGGTTGAATGTTAGGATAAAGTATTAGTGAGGTTAGGTTAGAGTGCCAGTTAGGTTAGGTGAGAAATCTTGTATCAGGAGAATATAATGTGCGAGGAGGTTGAATGTTAGGATAAAGTATTAGTGAGGTTAGGTTAGAGTGCCAGTTAGGTTAGGTGAGAAATCTTGTATCAGGAGAATATAATGTGCGAGGAGATTGAATGGTTAGGATAAAGTATTAGTGAGGTTAGGTTAGAGTGCCAGTTAGGTTAGGTGAGAAATCTTGTATCAGGAGAATATAATGTGCGAGGAGGTTGAATGTTAGGATAAAGTATTAGTGAGGTTAGGTTAGAGTGCCAGTTAGGTTAGGTGAGAAATCTTGTATCAGGAGAATATAATGTGCGAGGAGTTGAATGTTAGGATAAAGTATTAGTGAGGTTAGGTTAGAGTGCCAGTTAGGTTAGGTGAGAAATCTTGTATCAGGAGAATATAATGTGCGAGGAGGTTGAATGTTAGGATAAAGTATTAGTGAGGTTAGGTTAGAGTGCCAGTTAGGTTAGGTGAGAAATCTTGTATCAGGAGAATATAATGTGCGAGGAGGTTGAATGTTCGGATAAAGTATTAGTGAGGTTAGGTCAGAGTGCCAGTTAGGTTAGGTGAGAAATCTTGTATCAGGAGAATATAATGTGCGAGGAGGTTGAATGTTAGGATAAAGTATTAGTGAGATTAGGTTAGAGTGCCAGTTAGGTTAGGTGAGAAATCTTGTATCAGGAGAATATAATGTGCGAGGAAGTTGAATGTTAGGATAAAGTATTAGGGAGGTTAGGTCAGAGTGCCAGTTAGGTTAGGTGAGAAATCTTGTATCAGGAGAATATAATGTGCGAGGAGATTGCATGGTTAGGATAAAGTATTAGTGAGGTTAGGTTAGAGTGCCAGTTAGGTTAGGTGAGAAATCTTGTATCAGGAGAATATAATGTGCGAGGAGGTTGAATGTTAGGATAAAGTATTAGTGAGGTTAGGTCAGAGTGTCAGTTAGGTTAGGTGAGAAATCTTGTATCAGGAGAATATATTGTGCGAGGAGGTTGAATGTTAGGATAAAGTATTAGTGAGATTAGGTTAGAGTGCCAGTTAGGTTAGGTGAGAAATCTTGTATCAGGAGAATATAATGTGCGAGGAGATTGCATGGTTAGGATAAAGTATTAGTGAGGTTAGGTCAGAGTGCCAGTTAGGTTAGGTGAGAAATCTTGTATCAGGAGAATATAATGTGCGAGGAAGTTGAATGTTAGGATAAAGTATTAGTGAGGTTAGGTCAGAGTGTCAGTTAGGTTAGGTGAGAAATCTTGTATCAGGAGAATATATGTGCGAGGAGGTTGAATGTTAGGATAAAGTATTAGTGAGGTTAGGTTAGAGTGCCAGTTAGGTTAGGTGAGAAATCTTGAATCAGGAGAATATAATGTGCGAGGAGGTTGAATGTTAGGATAAAGTATTAGTGAGGTGTGGTTAGAGTGCCAGTTAGGTTAGGTGAGAAATCTTGTATCAGGAGAATATAATATGCGAGGAGGTTGAATGTTAGGATAAAGTATTAGTGAGGTTAGGTCAGAGTGCCAGTTAGGTTAGGTGAGAAATCTTTAGAGTGCCAGTTAGGTTAGGTGAGAAATCTTGTATCAGGAGAATATAATATGCGAGGAGGTTGAATGTTAGGATAAAGTATTAGTGAGGTTAGGTTAGAGTGCCAGTTAGGTTAGGTGAGAAATCTTGTATCAGGAGAATATAATGTGCGAGTTGATTGAAGGACCTAACCTAACTAGGACTCTGACCTAACCTTACTTATACTGTATCTTAACCTTCAATCTCCTTCCGTTCTA